ATATATATATATATATGAATATACATTAGATCATTAATAGAAAATTTAATTATATTTAAATATATTTAAATAAACATTTTCAGTCCAATTTTATATAACAGTTGTACAAGAAAAATATGAAAGAATATATGTAACAAAGGATATATCTGTACAAAAGATATCTTTATAGTTAAATTATTGCAACTACAAATAAAATCTTTAAAATAGGCTATTATTGTTATTAAATGCTAAATTTGAAATACAAAAACAAGAAACCTGTTCAGAACTTTACTACTAGACTTATGATTTATGACTTTGATTAACATATGCACCCGACTTAAGAATCATTTGTGAAACGATATTTATATTTATTTTTATACTATTCTATAAATTTGTCAATCTTGTGTTGTTTATTGATATTGATGTTTTATTGATTTTATCAATAATTTATTAATAAATCAATTTTTATTTTAAAAAGAGATTAAAAAATATTATCCTTTATAAAATTAATAAATATTAATATTACATAAAAATTTAATGGCGCATCTTATTTATTATACAATTATTATATAATTGACTACAAGATATCGATTAAAAATATTTAGAAAATTTTAATGAAGAATTGACAAAATCCTTTTTGGATTTCTAAATATATATATATATAATATGTATATTTTTTTTTATGAAATTAGTAAGAAGAGAAATGTTCTAATGTTCTATTTTAATATTATGTTTAGTCTCTATTAACTGCAATAAGATTGATCACAATATATTGTTCCAGATATTCGCAAATCCAGAAGATGCTGATTATGCGGGCAAAACTGCCAAGGTGGTTTACAATGATCCAGATATAGAACGTGTACGCAGGGCACATCTAAACGATTTGGAGAACGTTGTACCCTGGTTCATAATCACGTACCTTTGGTTAGGAACAGGACCTGCACCGTGGCTGGCTAAAACCCTGATACAAACCTTTGTACTTTCTCGTATCGGTCACACTGTGTCATATGTGCTTTTTTCACAACAACCTATGAGAGCGATAACATTCTTTATAGCGTATGGAGTTATGGGTTACGAAGTAATTAAGACACTGATGTATTATTCCTAATATAATTCTGAAGCAGTCAAATATATATCTAAATACGTAAATAATAAAAACACGATAAAAGTTATAACAGCTTTTTGGTATCTGGGGATAAAAAACAATTTTTTGTTATATGTTCATAAAGGAATATTTTATATTTTACATTTGTAAAATATTGTTAATATATACATATATGTGTGTATTTAAGTACATGTGACACGTACAAGTATTTTTATAGAAAGAAAGAAATCACAATGTACACTGTATATTAATAAGTATAATTAAAAACATTATTGAACATCTTTAGTGCCAATAAATGATGTCATGTGTGTAATTATGAATGTTTTTTTCTATTTTCCTATTTATATTGCGGGCATGGATATTACTCTGTATAATCTGTGCATACCGGGTGTACGTTTAGCGTAGTTTTCAATCGCGCAAGCGTTTTTCAGCGAGATTCGAGGGCGCATACGCGAAGTTTATCACACGCCGTCGTCATGACGGCACCGCGACGCCGACAAACGCGGGAACGTCAGACGTCGCGACGCGTCCGTGACGTGTTAGTCGTCGTCGCTGTCGTCGTTGGTGCCGCAACGTCAATCGACCATGTCTTGATTTACAACCTCGCCGCGTTAACCGCAAAAACTTTTCAATTTTTTTTACGTGTAATATATTGATAAAAATGCTAATTTATAAATGCCATTTGCGGAAATCATCAATCGTCGCTCGTCGGTCCTCTCGCGCAATGGGAATCGATACCAAAAGCGTAGAGTGATCAAGAGATACAATCACAGGTGAGTGATTTATTAATTTTACGAAATAGCGAGAAATTCCAAAGAAATATGAAATACGAAAGATTCCAACGTTTATTTATTTATAAAACAACATTTATCAATAAAAAATATGTATGCTAGTAAATTAATTTAGTCTCGAGATATATCATGTTTTACGATATTTTTTTTTAATTACACGATTTTGTTGACAACTTTATACCTAATTTTATATAACGTTATTATAGCCTTTATATTTTTTCTCGCAAATTGCACATGCATAAAAGTGCATTGTGTGGAAAAAAAGCAGAGTTCAGGCGCCGGCGGCTGAAGAATGCAGGAGAAATTCCTTATCTTATATCCATGCAATTTTCTCCTTTGTTCCGACGACAAACACGGATCTCTGAGTTACACGCGAATAGAATCAAGCTCGAGCAGGTCATTCGTGTACCCGCACCTCGATTTCCGTGAGGATCATGTCTTTTTCTTTTAGCCCGAATAGAAAAGCCAGCTGAACGATTCTTTCTCACGTGCAACGGTTTGCATAGGATGGTAGGAGCATGTCTTATCAAAGATTGGAACAAGTTTTCAACTTCTTTATGCCAATATCTTGAAAGAGAAAAGCAAGAAAATCTGTTTTTCTCATCAGCATCATTTGTATAAATAAGTAATAGCTAGCTATTAATTATTTATAGAGATGTTAATTTAACTCTTACGTGTTATTTAATATCTACAGTCCATTTCAACAAGCAATTTAAAATATTCTATCGAGGAAAACGATTTTATTTATTGGAAATTGAAATGTATATTAATTAAAAATATTTTCAAACTTTATTTCCACTTTATTTCATATTACCGGGATGTTTAATTAATTTCTTAAATTAACAGTGTGTTTTCGGTGCGCTGACACATTTTCCAACGCCAGTAACCCGTTCGTCAACGGTGTATCAATGTTTGCCTACTTTCCGGGGCTTTAGACATAATGAAATTTTCTCACGAACAGTGCATTTGGATGGAGAATACATGTAGAAAAGTTCCTTAGTTAAAAGTCTCCGCATTCTCTAATTAAAAGTCCTCGCGTTCCATGGAAATATCGATTACGCAATTAATTAACATTCCTACGGATACGCGAATATTCATCGTTTTATTTTATTTTATCGCACAATCTCTCGCGTATGTATCGCGTGCAATATTGCGGTACGATTACAATATAAAATTATAAGTTTTTATAT